CGCGGCCCCGGCCGCCCCCTCGCGCAGCGACCCACGCTCGCGCGGGTGCGCCTTCACTCGCGCCCTCCTCTTGTTTTCCAGTGTTTTCCCCTGCGCTTGTGGTGACGAGAAGAGCTGGAATCCCTCACATAAACCTCTAAAGATGAAGGTAGGCGAACTCCCGAGCCGGGCGCGGATCTCTCTTCCCCTTCGCTGGAGCGATTTCGTTTTTAATCGCGCGTCTTCACTGAGCAACAGTAGGATAAGAGCGGCCGGGGAGCGAGCGCATGCTGAAAATCCCGCTTCTGCTCCGCCTCTGAGCGAGCTAAGCTCTTACCATCGTGCAGCAGCAGCCTGCAAGGTCTGCGAGTTGTTGTCCTTTGGGCTAGTGTCTTTAAATGCTTCTTGTATCAGCAGCTGCTATTGCGAGTTTGCAAAACCACAGCTTTTGTCCCGCCTTAGCTGTTGCCATTCTTTGCGTGCAGAGGCTTAACAATGCAGGATAATTCGCAAAAGAGGGAAAAAGTTTTCTTGCCTTCAGAGATGAAGAAATAAGTGTTGTTCTGATTTTCCTCTTACTATTATTTAGTATTCTGTGCGCGTTTCCCGTACTGATGGACTTTTTCAGCATGGTAACTTTGTCCTTGTTTATCAATTTTTACAAGAACAAATAAAGTGAAACATTAAGTAGTAAAGGCCAGGCAAAAGAAAATATAATTAGAAATGGTTTTTTTTTTTTCCTCTCTCTCTCTGAAAATGCATAAGCAATTAAGACTTTACAAAGGCATTTCAGGAAAGAAAAACTGTAGTTAACAGCCTTCTGAAAGGTTATATAAAATTTCTCTAGAGGTCTCTTTTAAGTCTGCAGAAAAAATCCCTCTGTATAAAATACTATAGACCTAACTGTAGGTATTGGGATGATAGCAATCTTAAATGTTTTAAATAATCTATGTGATTGGATTGCTTATAACTGATAAAATTGCAGCTATAATATATTTTATGCTTCCTTTTTGGGTTGAAATAGTTTCCTTTTGTAAGTTGTGTGAGAATGACTTGAATTAACCGTCATTCCTATATGTTCTTGCCCTCTTCATAGGGACAAGTTTCAAATATCAGTTCAGTATCCCCAAAGATCTTTCTCAGAGAATGATCAGGCTGACAGAATTGCGGGGATCAACATCACTGGTGAAACAAAATTTCCTGTAACTTATTTATGATGTCAGTGTGAAATCAGCTGTTTAGTCAGCCTATTTGTTTTACATTTCTTAGCAGAAATATTTATTTGGCTTATAAAGATTTCTGTATGATGAAGATGCTGCTTTTTTAGCGTTTCTCTTATCTAAATAATATTAGAAAAAGAAAAAAGAAAATAAAGAGTAGTAACTTCTTTCTTTTTTTTTTTTTTAATATTTAACAGTTAATTGTTCCATGCCCCATTTTGCAATAATTTTGTAGAGAAAAAAGTTTCAAAAATTATTTGGAAATGTTTGTTCAGAATATCTTAGGTAAAACCATGTAATATTTAAGAAGATCATGGGCCTACTCCTGGTTCGTTGACTCTGCTGGAGAAGAATGGTGGGTCGTTGTTAGAATTCAGTTAACGTAGTCTAAATTTTAATATATATCACTCTCTACTTTTTCTTTTTTTTGTTTTTTTTTTTTTAAGAGCGGTATGATTGCAGTTTTGAGTTGTGCAGATATTCTTTATGGCTTAAGGATCAATAGCAATAAAAGTTTAGATGTCAAATGAAATATATGACAGTGTAGCTACCGAGGACAATAATTTCTTCAAACGTGTTCTATAAAAATAAATAAGAGAGACTAAACTTTGTTCGTGTTTCTTCTTTCTTAATAGGCAGCAGATGAGCCTGCCTACCTGACAGTGGGAACTGATGTCAGTGCCAAGTACCGTGGTGCCTTTTGTGAGGCAAAGATTAAGACAGTGAAAAGACTTGTGAAAGTCAAGGTAGCGTACTGTGGTTATTGCTAGTTTCATCATAGCATCGCATTAAAAGGATTGTCAGAGAAGATCATGATTCTAAAGGCTGAAAAAGAGTCATCACTTTACACTGTGAATTTTAAAGAATACTTGAATATTTTGGTGCATTTATATTTTTGTGTTCTTTTCCTTTTTCTGTACAAGGATGCTGCGATAAGAGTGGGTTTAAAAATTACCTGTTCTGGCTATTTATTTCCTGTTCATAGTTTCCTTCTACTTGCAAGTGCATCAGTCTCAGAGCAGTCAGTTTTGATGTCACAAACAGAGGATTATGGCTTTATATGAGTAATAAGGAATGAGAGCAAATGCTTCATAAGCAAAAATTCCGTTTCATTCTAGCTGACGTTCTCAGTTCTATATCTTGGAAGTTAAGAAGCAAACGCAAAAAATGATTGAACATAAGAACAAAAAAGATGGCTGTAATTAGTTTCTTAGTCCAGTTTTTACAAGTGTTAGTTTTGAGCATCTTACTTCTAAGTAGTCTTGCTTCTAAAGTGCATTCCTTTTGCTGTAACTGATTTCCTGCGCAGGCACAGTGCTGAGACTTAGTATTCACTCACGCTTACAGGTCTGGTGTCGAAACACCCCCTTCCCTCCCACCCCTATAAAACATTACTTTGATATTGTATTATTAATGTAGGAAAACAAAGCATAAAACCTGGTTGCATAGAAGTTAATGCAAAATCAATACAGAAATTGTTCTTGTACTTTGTTCTCTCAAAATCTTCCCGCTTCCTACTTTCTAGTCTACTGTCCAGGATACGTAAATAAGGCATTAGTGACCCAAAAAACCCCAACAAATAAAGAGATGAAAGCTTCTTTTTATAACTACGCATCTAAGTTTTCATGTGCTTTAATGCTTAGATCAAGTAGAAAAGCTATCAGCCTCTTCAGTTACATATGTAGATCATATCGCTTTATCAGAATGCTTTCCATGATAAAAAAAATAAACAAAACCAATCCAAATCTTTCAGTCTTTTTTCCTGTCTTAATGAATACTTCTAGAAATTTGTGATGTTCTTTGAAATCTGTGTTAACGAGATGCTCCATGGGAAGCAGCGTGCTGCTCTTCTTAGACTGACATTGTTGATTCTGTATCTAAAGTGGTCTGACATAGTATTTAGACTGTTCATAGGTGTGATTTTCTTCTTCTCTTAGAATCATATTATTTATTACTCCACGATAAGATTTGGAAGTATATCAGGCTACTATGAGTATGGTGGAAATTCCTGTCACTGTATCTCAATTATATTACAACAATTGAAGTGTTAACAAGCTAAGCCTGATCTTGTAATTAAGAGTATGTGGGCACACCCTGGCATGCTTGCCAAGTCTAGTGAATTCAGTAGTCTTTTCTTGAGTATCAGGGTTACCTGTATTCACCTCAGTGCTGATATAAAATGTAATGATTACATGAACTGTATTATTATTCTAAACCTAAAGTCATATGAATAATATTTTACTTTACGTGCCTGTTTCATCATGCCACTGATACTGTTTTTATAGATACAGTTGCAGTGTGTCCTGTATTGGGGAGGTATTGGGAAGAGCTGGAAAACTGGACATCTTTATAGATTGAAAGAATGTTTCTGGAATTTCTAGAATTGACTTTTATTTCATTATACTTGAAGTGATTCATATCTTTACTATATCAAGGTAGCAGATGGGCTGCTTTTGCAGCCGGTTCAGTGATTTTAATGCATGTCGGATAGACGTTTTCCAGTTCTGTAGTAAACACAGAGCTTCAAACAGCATGTTGTTCATAAAGTATTGCAATTAGTGTAGATAGAGATGAAAAGCCCCTTTAGGCTTCTAATCTGGAGACCCAAATCCAGGCATATGCTGAATTGTGTCAAAATAGAACCTCAGAGTTTCATCAAAAATGTGTGTTCTTTTCCTTGTAATGGGTGATGCTTGGTTTGACTTTTCTATTTAGTTATGATATTTGAGATTGAGTAATAAACGTGGTACCTGGGCTTCCTATGCGTAAAGTTATCCGTGTCAAATGTTTTGCGTTAAATAACGTTCAAGTCTATTTGATCGATAAAGATTTTATTTTCTACGTTGCTGTCATAAAGGCTATTTCAAATACTTTTTGTATGCTATTAAAAATGCTATGTATAAGTGGCTTTTTGTATGCTATTAAAAAAAATGCTATTAAAAATGCTATGTATAAGTGTGTTAATGAATATCTTTCAGGTGGTCCTGAAGGGGGATAACTCAACTCAGTTAGTGCAAGATGACCAAGTGAAAGGACCTCTAAGAGTATGTATATTGCGTGCCTCCTTTTCCTTGATCAAATAAACTGTAAGAGTCTTAATTTTGACATTGTTTATATGGGTACATCTTCTACAGAATTTAGATCAACAGGAGAAGACCTATTGCTTTAGATCAGGTTGATTCTGAGTAATCTTAACTTTTGTGGTCTCTATAGGCTGTTTCCACTTTTCCATATGGTATACTTCGTATGCAAATAGTGTATACACGCAATGCCTTCTGTAACTTCTTATAAGTAAGGGAAAACTTGATTATGTGAAGCAAAACTCAAGCCTGTTAGACAATGGTAAATAGGATTGCTGTAAGCACATTTTAAAATAGATAACCCATATTTTATATAAAATATGAGTTTGCATATTTATTAAATGGAATGGTTATCTGTTAAAACGGATAGCTACTTGATGAAACACTGACTGCAAATTCAGCTTTTTAGTGGAGAACATCTTGTTTTGTCTCTTTCCTCTGAAGCTACTGCAAGAAGACCAGTGCACGTTGTAGCCTGTTACTGAAACTTTGATCAGGCTAACGGTACAACACTGAATAAAAATATCTGAATTTAGAGCAAATTTGAAAATGTTGAAAAATACCAGAAATAGTCTAAACTGCCTACACAGCAGCAATAAAGTAGTAGTTACTTTGACTGAGTATTTGAACGTTTATTTCAAATTCGCCTTACTGCTTTACTGTCTACTCAGAGTTCAGCTAACTCTTACAAGCTATATAACTGATGTCTACGTTTCACAAAGTAACATTTAGCTAAAACGAGTCCTGAAAAATCTAACCTGCTAGAGGAATTAGTGTGTATATTTGTGTTTCCTCCATTATATGAGTCTGGGATTACATGTGACCTTAAGATACTCCCTTCTGCAGGTTGGTGCAATGGTTGAAACTAAAATGCCTGATGGATCCTTCCAAGAAGCTGTTATTAGCAAGTTAACAGATGCTAGTTGGTATACTGTAGGTGAGTAGCCACATGCTTTCACTCATGATCTCTTTGGGCAATGTATTTCTAATTATGGGTAGTTATGTAAGTAATTATATCTTGTATTGTAAGATCAGGGATAGGTTTTTGGAGACTTTTCTTCAAGTATTCCTCGTCTTGCTTCCTTTTCTACTTAAAGTTGAGGATAATTATTTCATGTTCCGGGAGGCTGTTGGAAATATAATTGCAGGACTGAGCAATCAAGTTTTAGTTGGCGCAGTGTATGTATGCTGATGCTGTTTTCAGTCACTGGCATTCAAATAATTTATTTACTCATTTTAAAAGATACAAACTTTACAATTCGACTTCTAGCTGAAAACTCCTGGCATATGATGAATGACTGAGATGCAATAATTCTTTCACTATGTACAATCTGTTGCTGTACACAAGAGTAACATCTCTAGGATCAATAGCTTCTTTGCATTCTGAAATCGTTTCTCTTTTTAGTGTAATCGGTTGAGGGTCATATTTTGTATGAAGGAATAGGAGAAAGTGTTTTTTTTTTTTTTTAAAGAATTGGCACAGCACGCCTTTAAAAAAAAACAGGGGGCATTCTTTCATGACTTAAAATTAACTTGGTTTTAAAATCATTTTCAGGTAATGATTATCTAAAAAGAAATAGAAAACTGTTTTGCTTCTTGTTGGGGGACTCATGCCCTTTTCAGTAACTGAAATAGAAACCATGGAATCTAGGTTCAGTGAAATTTCTGTGTTGAACAAGGATTCACTGCAAGATAAATTTTATCATTCTGAATAATAAAAACTGCCTATTCTGTTCTCTACATCTTTCTGACACAGCTTGAGAGGTAGAATGATGAAAACCAGCAGCCCTCAAGTAATACTAGATAGGCCAATAAGAAAATGCAGTATTTGAATCAAGTAGCTTTGCAAGCACTCATCCTTTTGCACGGCTGCTTTACAGCAGTGGAGGGTTATATTCACAGACTGGTGTGGAGGGAACATGCTCCTCTTAACTGACCTATATGTGCTACTCTTCTGCATTGCTTTTGACATTGATACTTATAAATTTTGGTGGTTGTTTGTTACTTCTTACTGGCTGCCTTGTATACTGAATGTGTTCCACATTGCATTATGTTCTTCAGTATTCTGTTGAGTTCTGTATAGTGTGAAGTGTCAATTATTTGGATTTATTAATGTTTTTCTTTAAGAGGGAAAGAAGCTGTTTTCAGTAGTCCAGCCTGTTTTGTCTTTTTCCATTGCAGGACATTAGTTTCTAATGTCTTTAGTGGGATCAGGATAAGGCTCTGACTGTAACTATTTAGAATGATTTATCACTATGTGATTGTTATCATTGCATGCTTTAAATGTGAGCCAGTTGACTTATCAATTGACAAAGTTCACTGCTCTTTGCAGTTTCCTTCAGGAGCATAACATTACTGTAAAATTCTAGAGTAGCTGTAAAATCGTAGTGTGGGTGAGGTTGAGGGGAAAGGCAGGATGAATCTGGAGTGCAGAAGACTTAAAGTCTACTTAGTTTAGTGCTATGATATGACACACTTGATGAAAAACATTGGACTTCCAACTCTGATTTATATTGACTAAGAGATTCACCATTCTGATACAGGAGAAATAAGAAATACTATCTTGCACTAATAATTTTATGGTTAGTGAATTAGTATTTCCATTTGAAAACACTTTCTAATTTTAGTTTTAAAATGGCATTGCCTGATTCTTTTTGTTTGAATTTGGATCAGAAGATTTACACCAGTAAACTAACCCAAAATATTCCTACTTTAGTGGTTAAAAAAAAAAAAAAACTTTAACCTGTTAATTGATAAAGTGTGGGTGCAAGTTTCTTTGTGCTTTTACATTTAGCAAGTAAACTTTAAATAACTCTTTTTGATTTTGAAGTTGGATTTTTTTGTTTGTTTTTTTTTTGGGGGGGGAAGGGGAAGTTGCCTTTGAGCACTACCCTTCTGTCAAAAATCTGTACTTAGTGGTCAGATAACTTGGACTGTGAATACGTGACTAGCCTAGTTAAATGCAAACACAATTCTACTAGAACAAGTTGTTAAAGACTCCACAATAATGGATAAATCATGCCTGTCATGATTTTTACTTTCTTTATACGTTTATAAAATTGTCACTTCTCAGACAATCCAACCAATGGTTTAGTTTATTATTATCAAACTTTTTTTTCCAAATAAATGTCTTTGCCAGGTAGAATAGAGAAAATAAACTCATGTTTTCTTGTGGTAAAAACTGAACTCAACTAGTTTACCCTCATGCAAGTCTACGAGGACTGCTAGGATTTTGACAGAATCTGGAACTTACGGAGGTTTTTTTTTGTTTATTTATTTTGAAGTAATTATAGGCTAACACACAGAACTGTAATACGGCACATAGAGTATGTACGTCTCTAACTATATAATAAAACACAGTTGTAACAAATTGGAGTTGTATTTAGATCTCAAACATTTTTATGAGCAGTATGTGGTGGCATGCTTATTGGTTTGCAAAGTAGAGGTAACATTGACTGAAGCAAGTAGATAACAAAGTCTGTATCTTAATAAAATGGTTATTTTAACTTTTAAGAGTTGAGGAAACTCACTAACTTGAGTACAGAAACACTGAGGCGTGAAAAGTAAGAAGCCATATATTTTAGCTTGCTGCTCCCGTTGTTTCTTTGTAGAAAATTTTGGATAGATGTGGGTGTATGTCTGTGTTATTGTCAGGTGAACACAGTTGAATTGCTTCCTTTCTAATAGACAGTCGACTACACTACTTGGCAGTCTTATTAACTGATTCAGTTAAGGCTGAAGGAGTTGGAGGGGAAGCAGGTTATACAGCCCTCTCATTTCTAGAATGTATTTCTGAGATAAATATGTTCTTGTACTGAGTTGGAGAGCGCAAGGGAAAGCTTACGTAGTAGTATGTGCTTTTCCTGTACAATTAATTTTCTGTTTTATGTAACATCTCTTTTTCAGTGCTCTAAAAGCAGACTGATAAGAATAGGGAAACCAATAATACATACAAAAAAAAATTTTTTTTCAAAGCATTAACTACAAAAATCTGAAAAACCCACCAAACCAAACCCCACGTGACCTGTGTCTAAAAAGAGATAATGATGTTTACTTTTGCAAATCAGACTGTCTATTCCTGAGAGGTACTTAAAGAAAAAAAGTCACTTGAAATAACTTTGTTTTGTTCAATAGAGTGGACCAGTACAACTTCTACATTTAATTTGCTGTAGTACTCTGCTTTGCTGCCAACATAATGACAGAGATCCAGTGATGATCAGTTCAGTCTATTTTAACAGTAGACCTCCCGACTATTAGTGGTATTGCTTTGCTGAAAATAAGTAAGCTTGTATTTAATTGTTGCTGCCATGGAATCACTACTTTGCCTAGTTTTACCTAATAATGATAGGACTCTAGACTTTTAGTCACACTGGAATTTTCAGCTGTGATTTGGAAATGCCTTTGAAATTCGTCTCTCTAAAAGTGTAAGTAGGTGAAGAAACAAAAGCTGTTTGGAGTGAAAATTTAACAGTATCTGAAAACTGCCATTGCACAATTCAGCCCTCTCATCTACTCAGCTGAAACAGGTGGGATGACAGTAACAGCGGTTTAGGTTCTTTGGATAACAAATGGCTCAAATGGATTTAAAAAATATTTTTAAACTTAATTATTTTAAGTGAACTTAATTTACAAATTTTGGAGTGCTAAATCAATGCTTTTGAAGTGCTGAATATAGTGCTAGGTGATAATTGCTTAGCACCAGAGCAGGCTGTCAGATCTGTTTTCAGCTGAGACAAGTTGGAATTACGACTTGCTTAAGGTACCATCCACAAAAGCCTCTGTGAACTTGTCAAATGCTGCAGGTAAATACTGAAATAACCTCTGAAATGACTAAAAAAAGCCCTGAACAGCACCCAACAAAATGCATCGTTTCGTATGTGTGTTAAAATGGCTGTGAAGGCAAAATTGAGATGAGTATGACAAAGTTTGAAACTATCTTTCAGCGTTTACAAAAGGTCAGTGTAAAAATTCTTCTGTTTGTAACAAGTAGTTCAATTTTATAGAAATGAGCTAGTAGCTCAGTTAAAAATATTGCCTGAGTATGAAAGATTATTTCTTGTTTATAGAGCTCAGTATAATACTTCTGTATACCCTCTGGGTTATTGCTTATTTAATATGCTTTTATTGATAGTTTTTCATTTCTAGTATTTAGACTTTTTTCCAGCAAATAGCATTTTGAATTTATAGACTCTGGAACCAGAATTGAGTGTGTTTTATTAAAAATGTAATAAATTGTTCATGTAGTGCCTAATAATTGTTTTCCTCCTTTCATCTTCTCTGGAACCCATGTGCTTTGATGGAATTTTGACAAGCCAGAAAACAGAGATCTTTAGGTGTATGTTCTTTAAGGAAGTACTTTGGTATCGCTTCTTCACAGAACAAAAAGCAATGTAGTATCTAAGTAAAAGTGATTTCAGTTGAGCAAACATGTTAACAGTTGTTGTTAAATCAGTCTTTTTTTATTGCCCTATCAACACAAAACAGTATCATCTTTCTTTTGACAAAACTCAGGTCTGTGTGTGCTGAATGTATATTAGCCGTATCTACAACTGAAAAAGTTTTTTTTTTTTCCTCAAAAAAAAAAAAAAAAGGACCAAAGGCGTTAAGCCTTCTGCTTTGTCTTGTGCTGGATAAAATGAGGGAAAAGTTGGGTTTTTTTGTTTTGCTGCTTATATAAAGGGAGAACAGGAAAGAGAAATGGTTAGATTCCAGTAATTTTTCCTCTGAAGTGAATCGGAAATATGGAGGGGGAAACGGTGAGAGGCATCTGCAGTTTCTAGCAGACCTTGCTCTCAGCAGTAGGGCTTTACATACTATTCAGAATAAAAGGAAGAATGAATCCCTGGTTTATGAGAGACGTTTTTCAAGATTTATCTAATGCCTTCATGTAAGAGCAGAGATATCTTTCCTCTTTCAAAATTATCTTTATGTGGCAAC